TTTGTGATTGTTTTGCATCTCTTTTTGCTCTTTTTTCTTGTTTTTGTGACTATTTCGTGTCTCTGTAGTTGCTTCTTGTCTCTTTGTGGTTGGTTTGTGTCTCTTTCTGGTCTTTTTCTGTGTTTGTATTGTAATTTTCTGTCTGTTTATGGTCATGTTGTGTCTCTTTGTGGTTGTTTTGTGTCTATTTGTGGTCTTTTTCTGTGTTTGAATTATAATTTTTTGGCTCTTTGTGGGTCTTCAGTTTCTCTTTGTGGTTGTTTTGTGTCTGTGTCTGGTCTTTTTCCATGTTTATGTTTTCATTTTTTTGTCTCTTTGTGATTGTTTTGCATCTGTTTTTGATATTTTTTCTCGTTTTTGTGTCTCTGTAGTTGCTTCTTGTCTCTTTGTGGTTGTTTTGTGTCTCTTTCTGGTCTTTTTCCGTGTTTGTGTTGTAATTTTCTGTCTGTTTATGGTCATGTTGTGTCTCTTTGAGCTTGTTTGGCATCTCTTGTTGGGTTTTTTCCATGTTTTTGAACCATTTTGTGTCTCTGTGTTTGCTTCTTGTCCTCTTTGTGGTCGTTTTGTGTCTCTTCCTGGTCTTTTTCTGTGTTTGTATTATAATTTTTTGGTCTTTGTGGGCCTTTAGTTTCTCTTACATCTCATTTGGGTTGTTCTGCATTTCATTTTGGCCCTTTTGCATCTGTGTGGACGTCTTGTGTCTCTTTATGGTCAGTTTGTTTCAGTCCTTGACGCTGTGGTTCGGAGCCTTCGTGGATCATTTCATCATCGTGTATCAGTCAGACGGAGATCTGGTGAATTTGGAGTCGACACCTTGAGCTCTTGGTCGTGTTCCTCAAACGTTGCCGAACAGAGTTTGTGTGTCAGGAAGCTTCATCCAGAGGGTTGTAGTATGAAGCACGTTTGACATATTCAGGCTTTCCAGAGATCACAGGTGGTTTTCAACTTTCTCTGTGAACTCAGACTTTCTGCTTCAGACTCTGTTCACGTTAAAGGAGGCGTTTAACAGGTCATGTGACTCTTCTTCTGCACTAAATGAACCGATCGTGTGCAGCTGCTTCAGTCAACACGTTGTTTTAATGGAGAACAATGAGGAATATAAAAAAATATGACGATAAAAAGCGCCGCAGCTGTAAATGGTGCAAGACAGGAATGCTGGTAGAAAACTGTCAAACGTGTTCATATGTAATATTTTACTGATTATTTCCAGCTTCAGGTTAAACTTCATACATTTAAACATGATCTTTTATTAAANGAACGTTTTCATTCACATGTTCACTGTAAAAACTAAACTGTAAATAACGTCCACATCAACAGTCATTTGTTCTTTTATCAGGTTTGACTGCATTTTTAAAAAATCATGAATAGTTTTTCTGATATTTGATGTTATTTGAAAGAAACGTTCTGAATATTAAGGATTGATTGTTGAACAGGTTTCAGTAAAATCACAGGAAAAAGTCAGAATTTATGTATAATCCACAAAAACAGTAAATAATGTGGAATCAGATGATTTGATGTGAAAAGATGGTTTTGTTTTGTTTGTTTTTCATCTCATTGTGTTTCCATGAACATGTTTGTTGTGAAACTCTTTAAACGTTTTAAGTGTATTTTACCAATTTTTTAAATTACATATAATCAGAACCGCTGTGACTGTCGTAGTTTCTTTTCTGCTGAAAACAAACGTGGTTCTGAGGGTCTAAACATGCTCCACAACTTACCAGCATTTACAGGCACATCAGGATGGTGAAGAATGAGATATTTAAAGGAATTGGGCACGTTAATGGTAAAATGGCTCCACAGCGCCCCCTACAAAGTCTGGTTGAAACTGGGTTTAAGCTTGAACTATGAAATTCGGTGGGCATATGTAGTGATTAAAAGTCCACCAGCGCCAAGCCCTAAACCCAACAGGAAGTTTTTTCAAACGGTGGACTTCGGCCATTTTGAAAAAACAGTGCGAGATTTTCACTCATTTTTGCACTTTTTCAAAATCTTTCTCCTCCAAGGGGGAACGTCGTAACACCTGAAGTGTGGCCGGCACAAACTACAGGATGTGGTGATTAAAAGTTATGAAGACGCTCCGCAAAAGTCTGATGGTGTCAAAATGGCGGCCTCCGGAATATTCGCAGAAACGCCATAAAACAGGACGTGCTGAGTCCCAGCCAGAGCGCGTTGCCGCCTCGGCTCGCCGTCAAACAGGAAGTGGCGCTGAAATGGGCCGCACGATCCGATCTCCTTGAAACTCAAGACACCGGATCAGAGTCCGACCAGAGCGCGTTTGTGCCAAACCCAGACGTGCACGACGGCCGACAATCATAAGGTGAGGACCCGACCATGCTGCTTGCAGCTTTAATTATTATTANTTTAAACATGATCTTGTATTGAAGCGCATTTAGATCTGACTCTGTCCCATAAGGCGGGATATCACTTTAATTTTTCACCCAATCAGAGTGAAATTAATGTTGCTGATTGAATATTCTCTGTAATTAATACCAGTAGAATAATCCATTTTCTAATCTGTGCTCTATCAGCTGCAGTCCCAGCAGAGTAAACGCTCTGTCCAGCTGATTTAAATTATACACTCTGAACAGAACCTGCTCAACCAGGCTAGCTCCGCAGCATTAGTTACCATGGAGACCTAGCTCCGCAGCATTAGTTACCATGGAGACCTAGCTCCACAGCATCAGTTACCATGGAGACCTAGCTCCACAGCATCAGTCACCATAGAGACCTAGCTCCACAGCATCAGTTACCATGGAGACCTAGCAGGTAAAAAGAGAGACGCCTTCATGACACTGAAAACTCTGACTTTAAGCTCAACATACCTGATAACCCACTAATCTGGCTTCGTAGTTCTGCCCTCTGCTGGTCTCTTCCAGTAACGTTTCCCATCACAAACATCTTTCTTACGGCTTCAAACATCAACTGGAGGACCTGCAGCCTGACAAGCCCCGCCCACTGCCAGGTGTGACCAGGTGATCAGAGTTCACGTCACCGTTCAGCAGCTTCTGCAGTTATTTACATTTAAACAGTGTTTGTGCTTCATAGAAACAGGAGCTGGTTTGTTTTTCTGTGAAGATTTGAACTTTGCATGAACATAATCTAAACTTTTATCATGTNACGTCGTAACACCTGAAGTGTGGCCGGCACAAACTACAGGATGTGGTGATTAAAAGTTATGAAGACGCTCCGCAAAAGTCTGATGGTGTCAAAATGGCGGCCTCCGGAATATTCGCAGAAACGCCATAAAACAGGACGTGCTGAGTCCCAGCCAGAGCGCGTTGCCGCCTCGGCTCGCCGTCAAACAGGAAGTGGCGCTGAAATGGGCCGCACGATCCGATCTCCTTGAAACTCAAGACACCGGATCAGAGTCCGACCAGAGCGCGTTTGTGCCAAACCCAGACGTGCACGACGGCCGACAATCATAAGGTGAGGACCCGACCATGCTGCTTGCAGCTTTAATTATTATTATTATTATTATTACTGTTATAATTACTGTTCTGTTAGAGGCAATAATGACTAAAATCAAAAGCGTTTCTCACCAGACAGGACTTTAGGAACTCCGACTTTCTTCACAGCTTCTCTGATGAACTCTTGTTGCTTCTCATCCTGCAGCTAAAAGCAGAGAGAAGCCGACTGAACAGGTGGAAACTATCAGTGAAACTTTCTGCTCGTGAATCTTCAGGATCACTGACGTCAGAAAAACCACACAGTGTCACATTTAGTGCTGCACAGATCCACGGTAGCTCCGTTCTGCAGATTCAGGGAAACAAACAGTGAAGCTCGTTGCTGCTTTTTAAAAAGATAAAATAAAATCTTTCAACATGAATCACTTTAAAGGTCAAATTTCAAACATTTCTCTAAATGAGAGGATGTTGTTCAAGATGACACAAATACGTCAAAAATTACTCAAAATGACAAAAACCTGTTCAAACTTACTTAAAAATCAACCAAAACGATTCAAAAATGGTCCAAACAGACTAAAAATCAACCCAAAAACTTCCCAAAGTTACTGAACAATTGTTCAAAAAGCTGTCAATGTAATTGTGGAAAATTTAAAAAATGTCAGAAGAATGACTCAAATTCTTTTTATTTTGAAACAACTCACCAGCTGATCGTTTAACGGCAGCTCGGCTCTGATCAGCGAGATTCTGGAAAAGACGGAGAATCGTCAACAAGAAGCAAAGCAGCCAAACACGAATGAATTATACTTGAAAATATGTTTTATGGTTGATAATTATGAGCAAATGTAGCCTTAGAGCAGGGGTCTCCAATCCTGGTCCT